TCAAGTTAATATAAATTAGAGGTTAGCAGAGAGAATATGGATTTCTCGTAAGTTTTTTGTATATAGTCCACAATTATATACAAGAAGAAGCAGTATATAAAAATATTTCTGTAAAATGCGATAAGTTACTAAAAAAATATCTTGCTAAAAACATTATTAAACTTCATCTCGAACGCACTATGTACAAACATGACTCGATATTGTATACAAACATGAAATAAATTAATAGTCTCTAGCAATTACTGTGAATTCAATCTTATCATTAGACAGAATATATGTACAATGAACAAAAACAGTAACATAGAAAATATCAAACTCATTTAAATATCGGAAAATATCAAGTTTGTTTTAAGCTGGACTTACATTTGCATTCTCGAAAATATAAAAATTTGATGACTCGTCATCTGCATTCGTATTTTTTTGAACTGTTATAAAAAATTTAATTTATAATCCAATCTTTTGAGAAAATATTTGGCAATTGTATTATACTTTTTGTACTACACATGTTTTTTAATCTTTATGTACATAACTCTTTAATACATACTCACGCAACATTATACATACAAATATCTTATTAAAAATTAATCATCCGTATTTTATAAAAAAAATTACATAAATCACTAAGCAAAGATATAATATACAAGTTACAACGATATATAAATTTAAATAATTCTTAGATCGCTCTGAATAAATTGCTAATTTGAATAACTGTTTTGTTATGAAATTATGTCCAACCTACAACCTGTAGAATTCTACAAAAAAATAAGAACATACAGAAGAATAATAAATTATCGTAAATGAATATTTTAGATATTTATTTTTTTAAACATGTTTTTGTTAATCAAATTATAAATATATGATCACATCACAATATAGAAAAAAGAGTGTATAAGTCAGTCATATCATATATGGAGATACTGTCAAGAAATACTATTGTACTTGGCAGAGCATGTGCAAATAGCGAGGTATCTTTTTGTACTTTTATGTTAATAGTCCATTTTATATAGTCTAAGTTTTTTTGCAGAAAGAGTCGTTAAATATAAGGAATTGTTAAAATCAAATGAACATAAATCCATGATAGAATCTGATACTGGAAGGTTATGCAAGAGTTGGCCAGTTGTTACACTCCATAATGATATATTATTGTTCGATTCTATATGTGCTGCGACTAATGAATCATTTCTCGCGGATAAGTAATGTGGTCGAGATAGAACATGTTGAGAACTACCACCTTGGAACGTGTGCACAATGTTACATGTTACTTGATCTTCGTGACACGTTTTTTCGATTGTACATACTTTGTATTTCGCGAATTGTCCTTTATCATTAGGACGAGATGAGATAAGACAATGATGATGTTTTTTATCATAGCGTATTGAGGCAAAAGGACCTTCCAGAAACATCTGTTTGGGCAGATACGTTGCATCATTTATTTCGTACGCATTACATAGATAGAACCGGCATGCTATAAATCCACCTTTACAGATACCACTATTAGGATTCGGCGGGACTGTTGCCATTGATACAACTGGTGATTGATCATTACTCGTAAAGACATTAATAGCTTGTCCGGTTTGTCTAATATCAAATTGAGAGATCGTTCCATTTGGCGCGCCAGTTAGGAAAACGTTCGGATTGTCACCTGCCCAGCAACAACTCCAAAGTGGAAGTTGCATCGGGTATGTGTGCATTACCACATTATTTTGAACATCCACAAGCTTTGCGCATTTATCAAAGCCGACCGTAAGAAGAATGTTTGGTTGCGTGAAATGGAAAGTCATATCTCTTATAGCTTGAGAGTGTAAGAAAGTAAATTGACGTAAAGTTTGATATTCGCAGTCCAGCTTCCTTATACCAAATCCATTAAATAATGAATTTGTTGACTTTTGGGAAAAAACTACGAGTTTATGCCAAGAATTATAATCTAGAACTCGGCCACCCTCCTTGATGTCTACACATCGTTCCAAATAAAATTTTTTATTGGTGAAACTTCGGCTAGCATCAATGTTCATTTTTGGATTTTGACTTTCTAGTTCAGCAATACGATTTTTCATGGAGGTTACTTGCTCCTCATATACTTTTAAACGAACATTGGTATGAAATAAGTTCATCTGCAAACGATTCTTTTCATCTAATGCGTCATTCAAATCTTTTTTCAATTTATTATATTCGCTAGCGTCGACTGCTGTCAGTTCTTTTGCATATAGAGTCCTAATATGTTTTACATTAGCTTTAACATTGCATTGAGGACAGCGACGATTTGAACTGTCACAGGAATGTTGCAGCCATCTCAGAATGCAACTGTGTCCAAACAGATGTCCACAGCGTAAACAACACAAACGATGTTCACCTGAATCAGTCCATCGTTCCATGCATATGGGACATGTTTGACCAGTGTCCATCTCTGAGACATTCAAATTTACTGCTAAAGATTTAATATGATTTAGTTAAACAAATATATTTATGTATATCTGGAAAGTTTTATTTTTATGTTATATTCTATTACATGTACAATATATACCTTGTTCTGAGTTTCCAGTTGAAGCTGGACTCTCTTTGCTATTTTGAATATCATTGGAAACGATACATACATCTTCTTGTTGAAGCTCACCAGTTTGTTCTTCTATTTGTGCTTGTTCCTCTACTTGCATTTGCTCTTGTGCTGCATTTTCATCTATAACAATAAAATAATAACGTCAAATATTGGAGTCAAATAATGAAGTTAAAGTCTTGTAAACATAACATTCAAGATGTTAAATTTTTAATAATCTTAATTAAAATCTTAAAATATTCTAATATCTTAAAAAACTATCTAATATTAAACATCTATAATTAATTTTTTACTATATAAATTACATAATTATTAATCACACAACACATTATCACAAGCTTCTATAATTATGTCTGCAAAAAAATATATATTGATGTTATATCGTTTTTTTGCAAAATACAATCATTTATGACTTTCTAACTAGATTGAATTATATTTTTAGATCTAAAGAAATAATTCTACTTCTACAAGAAAAACTTTTAAACGTTACAAAACATCATAAATTGTCATAATTTGCTAAATGCGATTGTTGTTTACTCACTGCTTTCCATAACCTTTACTTTTATCTCAACCGCTAACTGCAAAATTCTTTGAAGAATGCGTTTCGTTGCTCGTTTCTAATTAAATCAGGATAAAGGATTAATCATTTATTTTTCTTTCTTTTTGATCGTCAAAACATAATTTCACCGAAAAGCCGGTTGATTTATAAACACGATCACGGGTCCTTATTCTCGAAAAATATCGCATACGATATTTCACAGATGTCACTAGAATAACATACTTGGCGGACAATTTGTATTTTCGAATTTTTATAATTTAATTCATATGTAATAAATATCGTATATTTGATATCGAGTGAGTCAGACCATGCAAAAATGATTATCACATATGAAATTTAGGGTTTATCAATCTGCCATCATAATGATTTATTGAAATTATTGATCAAATTGTATCAGTGTTATGAATTTTGTTTGAAAATTCGGTGAACGGTATATCTATTAAATATTACAGATCGTATTTTTAGTTTTATATAATAATTTTTTTATGTTAGTGTATTAGATTGATACTGAAATGCTATTTTCATTACTTATTTTCTTAAAATTAGTTAAAGATGATTGTTCTACAATACATTTAAACAATTTTGGAAGTTAGTGTATTTTATTTGCAAAACTTTGTAGACAAAATTTTTTGTAATTAGGTTTTTTTTTGTAATTTTTTGTAATTATTTTAAGATTTTAATTAAGATTATTAAAAATTTAACATCTTGAATGTTATGTTTACAAGATTTTAACTTCATTATTTGACTCCAATATTTGACGTTATTATTTTATTGTTATAGATGAAAATGCAGCACAAGAGCAAATGCAAGTAGAGGAACAAGCACAAATAGAAGAACTTCAATAGGAGTTTCAAGGATTTTTATAATCATTCAATCAAGTTTAGTTACTATTCAATCAACTTAATAAACACTGATGAGCTGATGTATTTTTACAGATTTAATGGATTATGCAACATAATATAAATAATCTCATTAATTTAGAAGCAGTTCGTCTTCTTGAAGAAATTGAAATAAGAGCTATTGTAAGGCGATTATTCTTATGTAAGAAATGATTCTTTCGATTATCCAATAAGGACTTTATTCGATTATATTAATAAAAGAATTGCTGAAAATGTAATTAATATAGCGTCTCATGCAGCACAAATGTTCAAAATATATCACATATCCTGAAGATACCATCAATCAATATCTTTCGTATAAGTTAGATTGTCGTGTATATAATATTGTACTAATAAAATAAATCCGTCTCGCTATAAAACCTATGAAACTATGTTTCATGATTTTACTTTCCATGCATCCAAGTTACATACATATCGCTATACGTGAAAAATTTCACGTGAAATGTCGATGCGTGAAAAATGAAAAGTGAAAAGTGAAAAATAATAATAATCGGGAGGAATTAGAAGGATGAATTATAGAAGCAATTGCTTCTATTACTTCCGAGATAATCCGAAATGCTGGAAGAAATTTAATTAGACGGGCACAGCTTTGTATAGAATTGGGAAGAGGGCATTTTGAACATATGCTGTAATAAATTTTAAATAAATAATGTGTTAATAATTTTTGTGACAAATAAATGTTGTTTTGTTTTACATAAATTGTAATAAATATTAAATAAATGTTTTAATAAACTTAAATAAAGTCTCTTATGTCCAATAAATCTCGTTGTATCCAGTGAACAGAATATTTAAAATTGACGCATAAGATTATTTCAAGATATCTTTCAGAGTTTCTTTATGAGATGTCTTAAAAATGTTTCTTAAAGAATTCTTAAAGATATCTTAAAGTTATCTTATGCGTTTTTATTAATTTTAGACATTCTGTTCATTGGGTATAAGATATAAATGCATAATTTATTAAAAAGATAAAACTATTTTAACAGATTTATCAATAAATTTTACGTTTGTATCAACATATTTTTCACTAGTCAAGTCGTATAAAATCCATTTTAAGCAAAATGGAAATCTTATCCATTGAAAAACAATATATTAATCCAATGATATTAGGAAAACGTTTTTATTATATGACAGAGAGGTTGTTTATGATCAAATTTTGACATTTTATTATATGATTATGATTAAATACAATGCATAGGCAATGCAGTAAATATATTATTTACTTAATATTTTGTTTTTGGCCATATCTCTTATATAATGATATGTAAAACATAATAAGCAGAATTGAAAGTTCAATAAAGAAACAATAAAGACAACAATGTCTATATAATAAAATATTGTGTTTGACAATATTTACCTGATGATTATGCCGCTTCGAAGAACAAGCATATTATTTATGATACTAATTAATGCTGCAACTATACGAATATGTCTGGAAAAACGAAATATATCATATAAAATAAAATAATATGACAAATATTTGTGATTACGAATGAAAAATATTTTCAAAAATATATTATTACTTGGGTTTGATGTATTTGAAAATATTTAATATAAAATTATATAGTAAATCATCGTTTGATTGCTGAATAAGAATAGAACAAACATATTCGCAATTATATTTTATTGTTGTATTATTAATAAACAATACTTATAAAAAGATTTTAATATTACTAGCTTCGAAAAAGTGAATGCAATATTAAAAATATTATTAGAGTAAGCCAGAATTTCCAATATCTTTAGACCCTTTGTTTTCAATATTTTGTCCAAGTTATTAAATATTTCATTATAATCAACGTCACTCATCGATAGCCCATGTGTTCATTTCTTCCATGGTAAAAGTTTATTACCCTAAGAAGTTTTAATACAGAGTTCTAACTTATATTTATATATATTTTATTCAAAAATACCAAACATTGCATATTATAAAAATATGACAATAAAAGCATATTATAAAAATAATTACGTCTAATTTGTTAAATGCTGTTGTAATTTAAGTTTAGTCGCTTTTTTACATTTTCGACGCTGCCGAGAACACAAGTCCATCTTGCAGCTTCTTGCATTAAAAGGAAAAAAGTATTATTTTCAAAGATATTATTTACTTTTGATGTAAGAGAACTTAAATATACTATAATCTGTTAATCGTCAAAACGGAGAGATTCTTGTTGAGTTTGCACCACAAATAAATCCAACAAACGCATGTCTGGCATAATCTAGACGTTAAATAGTGTTATATAATTACATATTTATTCGAGTAATATTATTTATAATAAGTAATCATTTATATAATTTATATTAAATCAAAATTAGATTCAGTTCACTAAACAATTTATAAGAATAAGAATATATTCTAAATAGACAGATTTTAAAACAAGTAGTTTTGTAACGAAATTGTTTAGCTGTATCAAATAATATCAGTAGTATTCAAGAAATACAATTGCACATCTTATATATGTTATTTAAATGTAAATTTATCGCCTGTTTTTAGTGATGTATTATTACAGACATGAGAAAATACCTTATTGGCCATATATTCCAAATAACATGGTAACACCCTCATTGAACCACATATAAGACCATGTTGATGGATTAACTTTGGCAAATAATTTACCAACCACGTCCTATTAAACGCGATATTTCCATTTTTCGCTGAATAGGATCTATTATTTCATTATAGACAATATCTTTTTCTCTAAAATCATTCATAAGTAATGTCATTATGTATTATGCATATTACAACCATAACGCGTAACACCATGCTTTATAAATAATATTATTTACTACTCATAATTCTTAGTTTTTTTGTAACTATTTTATCATAAAAGTATAGAAATTTATTTTTTAATTACATATACTATCTGTGAAATACAAATTCAAATTTATCCATGCCATTTTTTAAACCTGCGATTACATAATGATCTCCTCTTATAATTTCTTCTTGCAATTTCCATGTATGCTTAACGATATTTGTGACATTTTCAATCAGTTCAAATGCAAACGTTTGATTTTGTATTATCGGTTTTCTGCCCCACAATCTGAGATCAATTTTTTTGGAGGTAATATTTGAATAGCCATTAATATCGAGTAGCACAATCGCAATACGATAAGTAGGAATCTCAGGAGTAGTGCCGAAAAATGTTGCCATTTTATTGTTCTTATACTGGATTGTACGTACAAGTGGTAAATTCGTAAAAGGACGGTAATAGTTGTGATGCAACAATATAAATGGTAAAGTTAGCTTTTATTCTTAGCTCCTCCCAGCATGGAAATAAATGTCGCATTCCAGTAACAGAGTTATTCGTTGCGATAAGCCACCTAACATATTTAAATGATTGTATTAATTGCTATCTAATACAATAATGCTATCTAACACAATAAACCTAACACAATAAATTGTATTAATTGCTATCTAACACAATAATGCTATCTAACACAATAAACCTAATACAATAAATTTTTAATTTGTATAGATATTGTATAAAAGGAAATTATTGTAACATAAAAAGTTGAGAAGGAACCAATATAACACATACTTTTATATTAATTGCTGTTATGATTAATATTCTTTTTTTTGCAATTTCAGAGCATAATATTTAGAGTACAATATTTATTTTATAAACTACATAGTTGAATAAACGTAAACTGATATAAAGAAATTTTGTTCGTGTACAATGCGTAATTAATTTATTTAATATTTTGTTATAAATATTCTCTAAAAGAATAGTAAAGAATTTATTTTGTATAATTTTTTATAATTTTTATAATTTTTGCAGCGAATTTGTATTATCTAAGCAAATATTTTTGAATATAATCTAATATTAAGTTTCTTCCATATATTATAAGTTATATCATACCGCTGCTTCTTTTGCATTTAACGAATTTTCGTTACATGTTATATAAAGTACGTATTATTAATTTTAAAAAACGTACTTAATCGATTCACTTTATAATTTAAATATTCTATGATGTTTATAAATTGTAATTATAATAAGTCTCTCTGTATATTCACTTGTCATATCCTTCCGTATTTTTATATGGGATTTTAACAATGCCTCCATCATTAGCTATGACACCAGTATATGCTGTGATTAAACTATATTTACCAGGTTGTAGAAGGTAGGAAAATTCCAAAATAACAATTTGTAATTTATTAATGTATGAAATCCTATGTGGTTTCATTTCACGTTTACCAGATATGGAAATTTCAATTAATGTTATATTAGTCATATTAAAGTTCACTGCATGCAAATTTGATATATTTTTATTAATGATAAATGTGTAATCACAGTTTCCATGGAAGATATCATTTTCTATATCAAACGCTATATAAAATGTATATTGTTTTGGTACTACATATTCATGCAAACGAGAATTAACTATAGTTTCATCATTAGTTTTATTATAGTTTAGATATTCTGTTTTTACATTTCCATCAATGTAATTAAAAAAAGCCGTGACATGATTAAATATTAGATTTCCATATAATAACACTTTTATTAATTCCATTGACATTTATCTAGAAAAGAATGTTTAAAATTTAGACAAATATGTTTTTGATGTAAAGCTTGTATCATTTCGATTCCTTAAAAGTCTCGAAAATAGCAAGAGTTTCTTATTGAAAGATTTACAGCCAAATAAAAATTTGTTCACCGCGGTTTTGACATGCATCACTATATTGCTGTTAAATATAAGATACTATATGTATATATAAATTGTAAATATGTGTATAAATTTATAAATTATAATTATATGTGCTAATAAATTTTTAAAATATTTATGTGCATAAAATATTATTAGTTTAAATTGTATTTATCGTTACAAAAAATTTATAGTGTACTCTTACAAAATCACAACTTTCGCTCTAACAGTTTGCTGAAAAATAAAACAAATTTGACAATAAACATTCATAATTATATGAGATCATAAGTGAAATAATAAGTAAGAAGTATGAAGTATAAATATATATATCGCTGATTGGCTTTAAACATATAATAACGATTGATTAATCATGAAGATTATAATATTAAATAAAGTAATATTAAATTAAGTTGAATAATTTATTATTTTATTTTAAAATTAAATTTATACTGATGTAATTAGTATGTTATAGGTATTTTAAATATTTTATAATATTTTTAGTTAAAAATTATATTTACCATTAGAAATTATTCATGATAGGCTTGAATTCTTAGAATCACGATCTTTCTGCTCCGACAGTTCACTGCCAAATGATAACTATGAGAGCAAATGTATGTGGTAAAGTGCTTTGATATTTATAAAGGATATTAGTAACAAATAATATGAATAATATAAACACAACATATCTTTTATAAACTATATAAGACATAAACATATAATAATAACTGATCATAAAGATTACAATAATCTATTTCCATAAACACTTTTGAACACTACATTTTCTATTATATATATA